TCGACGGCTAGCACTGATTAATGATTTACAGAATGAAAACTGTCCTAACCATTAAACTTTACAAATTTTCCGGGAAGTTCTCTTATAGAAAAATGGCACCGGTCAACTGGCTGCGAGCTCTGGGGTCTGCTGCAAAAAAGGCGACAAAACTCTGGTTGCGAGTGTTTTTCAAACGTTCTTTGTTTTATATCACAGCTGGCTGCGAGGCTATCAGCCTGGAACTACTATATTGGTTCTCATAACGGTTGGAGTCAGTGTAGAGTAGACGGTGCGCTATCCGGGGCAGGGTATTTATATTGTAATAAGAAATGACCAATTTCGTGCCGTGAAACGTCATCACTGCAAAAAGACTTGCAAGTTCGTGTGGCTGATGCTATCCTAGAGCATTATCCCAAGATATTTTTGACGCGTAGTGCATTTTCTTCGGCCGCAGGGTAAAAACTTCACGCGGTACAAATAAATATCTGAATAGCATGACTTTTCCTATTGATTTTCGACGAAAAGCGCAAAATTTGGTTTTTAAGACAGTGAAATGCCCATTAAAAGTGTACTGCATATATCCGTTCGATAACGCTTCCTATAACGTACATGAGGCAATCCTCATCCATTGCACAAGTTTAGAAACCCCAAATGGTATATTCTTAAGGCCATAGAGGGACGTTTGATTCTCCTTATATGGGAATTCTGCAACTTTTAGACTCCAAATCCCAAATGCAAATGAAACGGCAGATCTGTAGGGGTTAAGGCTAAGACGGTCAACCTTAACAGCTACAATCTTCCAGGCTCGGTTCCTTAGTAGATGGGATGTAGAATCGCTACAAGTGCTTCTCTCCTAGACCGTAGTTTGTCGATGAAAGAGATCGAACGAAGGAAGATTAGTGAAAGACAGGGAGAGAAGCATGTACCAACGGTAGAGTTCGAACAGCTGGTGTTCGTGTGGCTGGCTTGCGGCAGCCAGGTTGAAGGAACAGTTGTGACCTGCATGAGTTTCTGTAGCTGGCATGCGAGGGTCGGGTCAGTGCCGCCAGTGCCGATCGGGAGGAGGAAAGGTCATCCCACGTCCACGTGGACCATTGGGTCTGCGTTCTGGTAGGAGGAAAGTACTCGACTACGCGTGCATCGGCATGTTCTAAGAGATTGGCCATCTCGACTACGTCGGAGGAAGACTGGTTGGCTGCGTTGAACTTCGACGGCAAATCAGTATTCCGTGTTAGTGTTAGTTGAGAAGAGGAAGGGATACCGTTAGCAATAGAAGTAGGTTCAGGGTTTGGAAAGGAGGTCTGAATGCTGGCACACATAGCGGAAAACTGCTCCGTGAGGCGGGGAAGGAACCAGAGCCTGGGGTCGATAGGCTGTGAGCGGATGAGGATCTCCGTATCGCTTCATTGAGGTCAGCCACATCAGAAGTTGATTTGAAAGTTCATCTCACAATTGGGGTCACCAATTATAGGAGTTAAGGCTAAGACGGTTAACCCTAACATCTACAGATCAACCTCAGAACTATTCTGGAAGTTGGAATTGTTTTAAAAACCAAAATCGCTTCTTTCTTTGACAATTAAATTGGAAGAATTGCTTTACTTGCAAATAATTACAAGAAAGGACACGTTAACTTACGTTATGTATGAGAATTATTTGAATTCGTAAGCACATCGGAAATCAATAGCGCTAATACTTACTAATGAAGTAGGCATTTTCAGCGAGTGTAGTTTTTTTTATCGGCGACCGAAAAGACGAGCATACAAAAGCCGGCATCCTAACGTGTCGTGTATATCTTAGGATTGTGGTTCACGACAATAGCTCCCACAAATCCGCTCAAGTGATCCTTCCTATCTGGACAAGTATTTCGGCATTTCGGTTAACATTCAATGAGCCCGGTTTCTGCCCTCTATATGCACGTAAAATAAAATGAAACATGCATAACCAGTCTGCCTTTCTAAAGGGAACATCACTCAATCTCTGACAAGTCAGCGTCTCCGATAAGATTGCTTGGTGAGGTTACATAGAGCGGTCGGATATTTCCATATATACAATAATCAACTACTCACAAATGTTCAGTAGGCTGAAGTACCTATAATCTTCCGGTTTTCAACACGCCACCCATCGTTCCAGCTGGGATTTTCTGATGGCATTGAACTGCAGAGCGGTTCTCCGAAGGCAACTGCATTCCATAATTGCTATAATCGGCAAACTAAGAAAAGTTG